GCGCTGTTTGCGCGTTCTTTGTCTAAAGGCTTTCCCGAGGAGGGAGCGGCCGAAGCTGAAGCGAGTGGGGCAGCTCCCGGTGCCGTTGGCTCTGCGGGGCACGCGGGGGTCGCTGTCCCCGCAGCTGCTGGTAGGACGCGCCTCGCAGGCTCCAAACGGACCGCGAAAACCACCGAGCAGCCTCTGGGAGCTAGTGCTGACAGTTTATTGGGAATGTGTCACTGCCTGGATTTGCCCTGGGGTGGTTTTGTTTTGTCTCACGCCGGGATGTTCTGCCGAGTACGACATCAGCTCTTGACTGATGTGCGGTGCTTGCTCCTCCTGTCCGGAAGGATCTGGTGGTAATTGACAATGTGACACTGCTTTGTAGGTGAAATGATTTTTTTTTTTTAAGCAATCAGTTTAAACAGCTGTATTACATTTTGTAGAAACAGCTGTTTTTGGTTTTGTTGTTTTTTTGGGTTTTTTTTGTGTGTATGTAGCCTTGTAGGAAGACCAGGGAGGTGAATAATTAAACTACACTGCTGCTGTTATCTCATGACAGCAATATTACATGACCATCAGTTTTAGTTCCTTAAAACCCCTTATTTGCCTGGCCTTCCTGAACAGTTTCATTTTACAGCAGATTGTGGCGATAGTTATGTGGTTGGAATAAAAATTTCAAGGGGAGGAATTAAGGTGAAGGAGTAAATTAAGTTTTTTGTGTTTCTTGATGGTATGATGAAAAGGCAACAACAGCTGCTGTTCTCAGTGAGTCTGTGGTGAATGAGGTAGTTGCTATCCCCAAAAAGGTTTGTTGTGTGTGTGGTGGCATCCAGATAGAATTCTGTCTATCTGTAACATTTTACATAGGAAAAACTCAAAATAATGTAAATACCTGAAAAAAAACAGAGTCAGTTTAACAGTTCACTTATAGTTGCCCTTTAGTTTATGTTTGGAGAAAGTTAGGGAGATTGACGGGGTTGGTAAGAAACTCAGTGGTTTGGCTAAAGCTGAACAGTAATCCTGATTTGCAGAGGTGAAATTATGCACATATTTCTGTCTCTGGAATGGAGTGGAATTCCTGTCTGGGAGAAACTTGCCTGTGGTGCTGAGCACCTTCTTGGCATTGAGTGGAGTACTTTTAATATCTGCTCGTTTTAGCTTGGTGAAATCTTCTTCCTGGGCTGTTATCGGATTTTAGTGAGAACCTTCTTGAACATGACTCTGATCTTGCAGATGTTTGACTGTCATAACTGCCTAGTTCTTCTTAAATGTTTGAAAGGAACTGCATCTCAGCCTTAGAGTGTTGGTCTTCTAGATGTCTTATTTCAGAAGTTCCCAGGTCCTCCTGTATAACCTCTTGGCAATCTTTCGTTTCCTGAACTTGATTGAAGCCTGATAAATAGCAAGTTATATGACGATTTGTCTCCTGCAACTTCGGCTTTCTGGAGTTTGGATTTTGGGTTGTTTGGGGTTTTTTCCCAATGTGTTCCTAAAGTTGCTGTGTTTTTCCTCCTAATCCTCTTCAGAGATTTGAAGGTTTTCAAAGGAGTGAATACATTGTGCAATATTAAGTAGCCATTCAGAGCTCAGGATGTTGATAGGCACGTGCCAGCCTTTCTTAATTCTCTCTAGAGAGGAGGATAGAATTCTACTTGTTTCTATTTATGCAACTGCATTACAAATGAATAGCCACTAAATGGTGCTAAAGGATTGGGAAACACTTGTTTCTTCAGTGCTGGAGAGAACAGTTCTGGCTGTTTGAACAGGCAAGAAAGTCTTCCAGGTTGTTTCATGCAGGCAAGAAACTAAAGTGTGCTGTTGCCAGTCTTATACCTGAGCTTTCTAATCTGTGATGATGCTTGCTTGATGAGTAATTAAATTTCCTGATTGCTGTTTGTTTTTTCAGGTGAAGCAGAACTGGAATTCATCTTATCTTTTACTGTAAATACTCTGCTAGAATATAGATTTCTCTGGTCATTTTCAGGATGTTATGGAATTGGCATGTTTTCACATTTTTCTGATCTTTTGAGAACAGAACAGCTTTTTTTAAAAGAAAATCTAAACTACAACTGAATATGTAAAGGCTGCAAAATGTACCTTTTGCATGTGAGAGTATTGACAAACAGTTTTTGATGAGGGTTCAGGTTAAGATCTCTTTGTGATTCCCCAGTTGCATCCAAAATTACTCTCTGGGATTATTCACCATGCTGGAAAATATGTCAGGTCCTCCAAAATTAGATCAGGTACCAAACTGGGACTACACAGATTTCTGTTCCTAATTTCCCTAATAATCACTACTCTGATGAGTAGTGACTGAGTTTTGTCTTGAGACTCGTCAAAACTGCTATCTTTCACGACATGCTCATGTCAAAAGTTCTTCTCCAGCTTTATTGTAGGCCCTTTTGGGGTCTGGGAAGTGCTCTGTAGTCTCCCTGGAACATTTTCTTCTCCAGGCATAGACACAGATGTCATATGGACACTTAGGCTATCTGTAATTTTTAACTCATACTTGATTACCATGGTTTCTGCCATACTTAGCAGATTTTTTTTTTTGCTCCTTCCTTGTTTCATGTGAATCTCCCCCATTTCAGTTTGATGGTTGAGATCTCCTTTCTTATTGCATTGCATCGCAGAAGAGAACCTGGGGCTCTGTTTTCTCAGTGACTTTTTCACAGATATTGAAAAGCTGCTACAAAGTGCATTCTAAGTTTCTTCTACCTGATACAAATCCTCAGTCTGTCCTCACCAGTCTTGTTCTGTGGCCCTTTTCATGGGCCATCTTGGTGGATCTTTGCTGGGATCACTCAAGTTTCTAATTTTTCATGTACTGCTCACCCCAAACAGGTTGCAGTATTCCAGATGTGATCTAATGAGTGCTGAGCAAAGGGAAGCAATTGCTTTCCTCAGCACATTGGCTAGGCTCTTGTTGATCCAGTGTAGTCTTCTGTTAGGTTTCATTGCTGTGAGAGTGCTCTGCTCCTCTGTAGAGGTACAGCCCTGCCAGCTGCTTTCCAGTCTGTATTTGTGCCAGGGATTTTTCTGTCCAAAGTACAGGACTTTGCTCTTGTTGTTGAGTTTGATGAGATTCCTGCAAGCAAATTCTTCCTGCTCTCTAGTTGGTCCTTTCCTCAAGTATAGCAGTCATTTCTCCCCAGATTTAGAGTCCTCCTCAAAACTGATAAGGTGCATTCTGTTTTCACCGCTGGTTACTGAGGAAAAATATTAGACACATAAGTTAGTCTCAGTACAGACCTCTGAAAAACTGTGCTTTTAGCCACCCTCCAGTGTCATTAACCACTGAACTTCAGCTTCTGAGCTCAGTTCCTCAGCCAGTTTTTCATGCATCCAGTAGTCCACCCATTTGGATTGTAATGACCTTCTGCTCTCTCCTTATTCACAGTTTTTAATAATTTCACTGGAGAAGTCAAATGGTTCAGTAGGCTTTTTTTCCTTCTGAAGCCTTGATAAAGGCTGGCTATTCCTAATCCCTGGGGTTTCTTTTCTCCGTGTGTCAAAAAATGTCTTCCAGAAGGATTTGCTCTACAAATTTCTTAGTGTCTGAAGTGAAGCTGACCTGCCTGTGGTTCCTCGGGTCATCCTTCTTGCCCTTTTGAAAGCTAGATATGAGATTTGTCTTTCTCCAGTTATAAAGGACTTCCTCTAATCTCCATGACCTTTCCAAGATGTTAGAGAGCAGCCTTGAACAAATATCAGCTCTTTCAGGACCTCTGGATGCATCCTATCTGGCACTAATTTTTTCTTTAGTGTGCAAAGCATAGAATAATAGTTCAAAATTCTGCCTCTCTCATTTTTTTTTCTTAAAAACAGTAAAATAATTTAAAGAAGAATGGTTAGAATTTTTTTTAGTTGTTAGGTGTTTAAAGCTCTTTCATGTTTCAAAGGAGTTTCACATTGGACTTCCTGGGTAATTGCTAGTGTTAGAAACCTTAGTTACAGTTCCCTAAGTGTATTGTGTTTGGGCAAATGGTTCTGTAAGTCAGGGTATTTGTGATTGTCTTGGGCTCTGTGTTCCCTCCCTTATGCAGGTACCAGCACTTGTGTGATCAGTTAGTGACCTGAGGGTTCTGACGACTTCCCTCCACTTCCCTTTACCCCCAACCCTTGTTTCACTTTGTTCTGACCAGCCCTCTGCACTAACATACTTCACGATTGCTTTGGCACTGTCTAATGTTGCATGAGTAATGGGGGTGAAAAGAACCTGGATGGTGAGACTGGCACAGCCCCTGTCCTCAGTTGCTTCAAATAGCTATAGAACATCACACTGCCGTCAGTTTGCAGCAGTTGAGATGCAGTTCTTATACCTGCAGAGCTTCACTTTGAAGAGCCCCAAAATTGGGGGAAGGGCAATATTATTCTGTTTCTAGCTAGTCCATGTTTTTGATAATCAGTGCTGTCAATAAAGTTTATTAGGAAGCAGTTATACAGCAGGCTTATTTTTTATGAATGCCTGCTAAACATCTGTGCTCTGAATTGTAGCCCTATCCCTGTCCTCTTGCTAAGTGGTGTTAATTTTTTATTCTACAGTTAGTGGCAGAACACCTTTGAATTTCACATTCTTTCTTAAATGCTGTTAGGGTAGAGGGTAGTGCATTTGTTTTAAAGTGGTAGTGGAGTAGGATCAGTGGCACACGCTGCCTTTTATGTTCTCCTTGCTTTAAAAGCAATAACTATGGTTGCATTCTGGTTATGTAACTTTTTATTCTTCATTCAGGTTTGGAAGTGGCAGTTATGTGCCTGCTTTTGAATGCTTTGAGGAAGATGTCAGTTGGCCTGGTTTCTTTGCAGATAAAAAGGTTGCACACTACTGTGTTGTTGCCATCAATATGGAATCAACTGAGAATTAGCGTAAGAGCTCACCGAGTAGTGTGGTTTTTCTCAACAAGCATCTCCTACATATTTTACTGACTGTATCACCAGGACTTGTGTACCAGATCTCAGAACTGAACGTTTAAGATGAGCATATACATCTTCTGTTCCCCACTCAGCCTTTTGGAAGGCTTTGCAATTTGGATCTTTGAGAATTTACTTAACAACAGCTGTTTACAGTTTCTACATATGTCTGGTGTGCAATTCTAGGATAAGAACGTAGCTTCGTGTGAGGCAACTGAATGACCTAAAATCAGCTCAGATTCTGTTAGAAGACTTTCTCTGTCCCTTTTGGACCTCAGTACCAAGACTAGTTTATATATTTTCTTTGGAGCAGTATTTGGATGACTTAGATAAAACAAAATTTAAGAAGTGGAAGATATACTCAAGTTCTGTTGTGAATGTCTTGAGCTTTCCAATGTCCCTTTTAAGATGGTGGAGACAGAAGAGGCTGTCCTGTTTTCTGAGAAGTGCCAGAGGGAGCTTGCATATATGGAAAGGTTGCAGCCACTGCTTCTGACTATGGAAAATCTTTATGATGTCTAGTAATGCCAGATTTGAAATTTCTTGAAGGAGCAGTGTTGGAGGGGGGAACCTGCTGTGTTGTAAATGCCATTGCCTTACTAATTGTGGGGGCATTTCAAGTCTTTCCTAAATGGGTTGTATTTTATTTTTAAACCAACTCCTTTTTAATAATACACATTCTAATAAGAAGGCTGTCATAAGACCAATTCTAATTTCCAGCTGAATTAAAATAATTCTTTTTTAATATTAACATATTTTAGCTTAGTTTTCTCCCTCTCTGCCCCCTGGTTCTTCTTCCCGTTATTTACAGCTTCACCTACTTAGGATTTTAATTGTAAAATTGCAAGATACTTGCAAGCAAAACTGCTTCCCCTCTCTCCCTCCCAGTAGCCTAGCAGCAAGCAGTCAGTGCTTCCTCCTGAGCTTTTAGATAAACTTCCTTTCTGGCATGTGACACCTACTGTTGCCAGGATCCTGAGGCTCTCAGATAGTCATACAAAATTGTCATACAACATGTGATTTGGCAAGAGCTGCAGTTTCTATCTCCAAGATGCAATCTTGACATGCAAATGCTGCCTAGTTTAGAAAAGCTATGTCCTAGGGGCCTGTTAACTTTCCAAATTGCATTCTGTAGGTCACATACACAGTTGAGTAATCTTGCTTGGGATTGCAACATAAGGAATTGCTTTGTCTTTTGCCTTGATGAGGTTGACAGTTCTGTATTAAGTAGGTGAACAAGTCTGTAGTGAACAGAAATGAGTATAGCTTAATTGTAAATTTTCTATGATACTTTATTTGCATTTTAAATATTTTTGTTATAGTATGCATGTTGTTTAAATATGACCATTTCCCTAAATGTGTTTTGGTAATGTTCACTGAGCATTTAATACCTAAAACCAACCTGAATTGTTGAATTGACAGGTAGTAAGTAGAAGTTTTCCCTTCTTTTACTGTAAAGTTAATAGGGGATACGTAGTGAGTGCTGATTCATATTGGCTCATGTGGCAGAGTTCCTCTAGTATACTTCTACTTTTTGTCATGGCTCATTCTCACAATAAACCAGACTTTTAGTTCCTCCATTATGGTTTTGAGCATGGTGGAATTTTGTCCCCTAGGTTAGTTGCAGGTCAGACATGTTTAACATTGGAAAAGCATTAGGGCATCTTTGTTCTGTTTCAGGATTTGGTTCACAGGAAATACTGCTTTTGCAGTCTGTCTTGAAGGTGACTGTGAAAGTGACCCTTTCAAATGAAAGCAGTGTGCTGTGTCTTGTCACAGGAATGATTGGATGCAATGTGAGTGATGAATACGTGAAAGAACTGGGTGCCATCAGGTGTCACATGCAAATGTGATGCAAAACTTGGTAGCTCTGACTTTTGCATGGGCTACTTAAATGTTTAGTTGCAGAGCAGCTGTGGCTCTGTATGTCCTCTTTTTTTCAGAGGTTTATGTTGGAAATTGGTGTTATTGAGTATGAGAACATTCTCTACACGAGTTGGCAGTTTTGTCACGTAATTAGCTCTTTGTTCATGCTGTCAAAACTAGACTGAATTCTGCTGAATGTTTTTGTTATGTTTTTCTTTGATTTATATTATTCCCTTTCTCATTATAAATGACTAAGTTTGAAGTCTTTTTTTTCTTCTTTTTTTTTTTTTTCTTTTAAGGTATATGTTGGTGAGCTTCCTCAAGATTTTCTTCGCATTACCCCAACCCAGCAGCAACAGCAAATCCAGCTGGATGCCCAGGCAGCTCAGCAGCTACAGTATGGAGGACCAATGGGCACAGTGGGCAGACTCAGCATTACTGTAGTACAGGTATAAATTGTACTATCTTTGTACAATTAAGTAATTTTAAATATTTATTGCAACTAATTTTTTTAGATCATTGGCCATGAAAAGACTTTGTGTTGGAATTTGAGTTACTAAATTACTTGTATATGGGGAATGAGCCATTCTCCAAGTTTTTGCAGCTTCATTGCCTCTGTGCATCAGCATTTTGTCCAGTTTCATGTTTCGTAGCTGCATGCTGCAGCAATTTCCTGTAAACCTTGCTATCACAGTGCATAATCTAATAAACTCATGGGGTTTCTTTGCTGTGAGCAGATTCCTCTGAAACCTTCTGTTTAAGAAGGCTTCCTGCAGAAACATTTATTATTGGAAGGCATTAGCAATTTTGAGAATATTATAGGGAGCTGCGGTTGCCGCATATATTTTTCCTTAACTGTCTGCTCTGTTCCATCCCCATGTCTTCTAATACATTTCCTGGTTTTCCTAGTGTTTCTCCAGGCTTTATATTGATCACAAGTATGCAGTCCTGGCTCTTATTTTCTACTTCATCTTTTCCCTTGTTATCCTTTCTTTTATGTCTTGGCAGTACTGTATTGCTGCATTCATTGTGCATAAGATTTCAGGTTTAAAAATTTGTCTGTCCTAGCACAATTCTGTTTATCTATATTAACACTCTTGATGTCCTTCTTACTAGCTTAATACACCTCATATATTTACAAGTGCTATTTTTCAAGTCATTCTCTAAAAAGATTCCAAAGAGATTTATCCTAAAATTTAGCACCAAGGCTGGAGTAGTACATGTATGGTTACAGCTTTCATGGTGAGGTCCTTACTGGGGTGTAAACATATATAAGGTCTCTTAGGGAAAGAGATACTGATCGATTGTTTCTGTGTCTTTCAGTGGTCAATTTGTTCCTTCACAGCCAATATCCTTCCCTTGAAAACTGGGGAAGCCTGGACGCTTGAACTCATTCATTGCATTCTGTTGCAGCCCTTTTTCTAGTTCAGATGTGTTTCCTGGTTGGTGTTCAGAGAAGTGTAAGACTGGAAGCTTGCAACTTGGAACAGCAGAAAAATGTTACCGAGAGCATAGGAGCTTTAGTCTAATTTTATTCCAGAGCTAGGAATAGAAGATTCAGGTTAAACCTCAGGTGTATAAGGAAATGAAACATTTATCAAACATCATGCCATGTCTCTCTTAACTTTCTAGCAGCTTCTGGCAGCTTGTATGCTACTCCGTAGTTGTTCATCTTTGGCTATTTGCTGGGACATCTTGAGATGCTTTTTGTCATGGGATATTGATCCAATCGGTATAGATAGTAAAAGTCCCTGGAACAGATAAAGGGGGCAGACAGTGCAGTGTTCAGAAAGGAGTTTTGCAGCTCACTTTGAGTGGTTCTATTACAGAAACAACCAGATTCCTGTTTGGACAGGTGAACTGATAGAGTTGATACTGGTCTTTATCAGGTTCAGTCTTTACTTATTTTTAGGTCATTGTGCAGACAAGATAAAAATCTGTAATAATGAGACTTAATGGCTGTTCCTAATGCCATGTCTGTAAGTAACCACTTGTTACAGAATCACAGGATAAGGATAGCTGAGGTTAGAGGGGACCTCTGGAGTATATTTAGTCCAAACCTCATTCCAGCCTTATCCCCTATGCACTCCACCCCCCCAGCCACTCCCTTAATCAAGGATTAAATAGGATGTTATACACAAGGAACGGCCGAGATTGCTGAGGAACAGGCTTTGGGAGAATCTTATCAACAAGTAGTCCAGGCCATCAGGCATTTATGAAGAAGACAGGTAGGCTCTTTTCAGTGCTATCTAGAAGAAGGACAAGAGGTGCAGTGAGCACAAATCAAAATACAGCAAACTCTCAATTGACTATATGAAAAACCTTTCTTACTGTGAGAGATGTTAAACATCAGAACAGGTTGCCCTAAAGGTTTGTGGAGTTTTTATCCATGGAGGCACTTGGAACTTGCCTGATCATTTGACCCTACTTTGTGCAGGGAGTTTGGACTAGGCAGTGTCTAGGGGTCCCATCCAACCTCAGCTGTTCTGTGAAACCCTTAATCTCATTAGTGGCTCTTTGCTGGACTCATTCAGGTGTGACCTTGTCTTCTACTGTGCAGTCTAGAACTACAGAGTGCAGTGCTGCAGGCATGGTCTTCCCAGTGATGAGTAGAAGGGAATCTCCCTTGATCTGCTTGCTCTGCTTTTCCTAATGCAGCCCAGAATGCTGCCTGTCGTCTTTGGTCCAAGGGAGCATTGCTGGTTTATTTCCAGCTTGAGGTTCAGCTCCTCCTCAGCAAAGCTGCTCTCCAGCCACTTGGCCCACAATCTTTATTGTGCATGTGGTTGTTCTTCATCAGGAGCAGCACATTGCATTTTCATTTGTTGAACTTTGAGATTCCTATCTGCACACTTCTCCAGCCTGTCAAGGCCTTCTGAATGGCAGTAGAACCCTGTGGTGTCCCAAGAGATAGTCTTCTGTACCTGTCTGGGAGTTTATGCCAGAATGCTAGGGAATCTTGGCTGCATGGTGAGATGTGGCATTCTGAATAGGAGACTTGCCATGATACAGTTAACTTGTAGAAGATGAAAAGTTGATTGTGTTGGTAAAATGTATAGAGCAGCATGCCTTAATTCTGTTACTAATAAACTGGTGGAAGATCAGAAAAAGTTTCTGGGAAGGTAATTTACTGCCTTTTTTTTCCCCTTACAGTTATGTAGAAATAGTGGTCAGTTTGTCTAAGCACAGTTGATTGTCTCCTCTTGGTGAAGTTTTATGATAAACTGTTTTATCTCCTGATTTTAGAGTCAAGAGGGTCTGTATTTTAGATGCCAGTTTTCCTACTTTAGTTTTTAAGTCCACATTTACAAGAAACAGTTTGAGACCTTTTGCACCAGCTCTGATGTATGAACTGATGAACCAGTGCCCTGAAGGAGAAAAGGGCTTTCCAAGCCTGAGGTGCAGCCATCATAATAAATGTTATGCAAGTCTCAACTGTTGTGAGTTCTATAAGCATCCTGTAGGTGGGAGGCATTTTAGGCACCATGGTTTGTCATTTGCTTGGCTATAAAAAGAACTATAGGCTGCTTAGTACAGGTCAGAGAAACAGCATGTCCAAAAAGCCTGACTTGTGCTTGGGCACAGCTGTGCAACAGTGCTCAGTGTTGTCTTCAGGAGTGTCAGCAACTTGTTCTGTCTTATTCTTCTGATATTATAGCAAAAGTGTTTTGGATTTCTTCTGGTTCTCTTCTGATGAAAACATCGTTTGTTTTTGTAGTAATGTTAGGACTGAAGATGCCCACTGAATTAAGTAATATCAAATGCACATGCTGAAATAAGTAGGTTTTTAATCACTTTGAAAAGTATGAACTATTAGAGTTTACCTCAGTTGAACTGCTTTTGTATTGTGGGATATTCTTGATGTTACTGGATTTTTGTATTTCAGCAAAGAACTTCAGTGGAAGAGGATAGGCTGCCTGTCCTATTTAGCTTGTGATTGTGTATTGGAGAGCAGATACCTAGGCAAACAATTTCCTTGTAATCATGTATCTCTTGGTTAGGTATGAAGTAACTTATGTTAGCGATGGTGAAGATGTGTATTTTCTACAACAGGCAGGTTAAAAACATGTTCCCTTTTCAGGGTCTCCCAGACAGTTAATGGTGTCATTGCTTTATGCTTTAATCAGAATGCTGGTTCTTTGGTGTTTTTTTTCCTCCTTCCCATCTCCCACATCACTGAATCTAGTCCTTTGTTCAATATTTGATTCTTATGGGGACCTAACAGTAATTAACTTCTCAAGTTAATGTCAGTATTAGACACTTACTGGATTTCTTTTCTTTACAGGCAAAACTGGCCAAGAACTACGGAATGACGCGCATGGATCCGTATTGTCGAATACGGCTCGGATATGCTGTGTATGAAACTCCAACAGCACATAATGGAGCCAAGAACCCCCGCTGGAACAAAGTCATTCAGTGCACTGTTCCCCCGGGTGTGGACTCTTTTTATCTAGAGATATTTGATGAGGTCAGAACTGCTATATATTTCTTATCCTCCTCCCTGTTTCCTGTTTGGACTGAGGTTTGGGTGAAACCTTGCAGAAAAGGAGTCAGTTACCAAAGACAGTTTCTCAGCTGTGTTCTCTGAGGGATGACAAACACTTTTCAGAATGCCAAAAGCAGCAATACATAAGGTTTAGCTCTTCCCCAAGAATGTCAGAACTGTTATTTTTCCTTTGATAGCTGATAAGGGGCATTAGCAGGGTTGCCTGCAAAGGAAGAGATGCAAAAATCTGCGTGATATTCAAGCTCCTTTCGGCTATCTAGAATGTGCTGCACCCTTATATCCTGCTCTGTCCCTGTTCAAAATAGCCTGTTTGTACAATGCTGATTTACTCGAAAATTCTTCAGTGCAGTTCTAACGTAGGAGGAACTTGGAAGCTTTCCCAAGCTTGGAAATGCTGAGAATAAAACCATAAAATAGAGAATGTGTGTAGTCACTAGGATTTATTAGGAGACACTAAGAGGCTACAACTGAGGCTAGAGTCTTAAGGTTTGCCTTTTTTTTGCCACCTCTCTCTATGTAGTAAAGCATGACACTGCAGCAGATGTGTGTTCATTACACAAGTGAGGCTTTTGCATGATATTTTATGACTTAGTTGATTGATTCAAGTGTGTTTCATTGCTTCAGTAGGGGTGGCAGATCAGTACTTGTATCTGCTCTTGAATTACTGGAGTTCACAACCTCTCACAGTAAACAGAAGCTGTTAACATTCATGTAACAGCCTCTGATGTGATGTCACAAGATTCACACAGACTGTGCTGATATTAGTATGATGTATTTCTAGAAATTTTCTGCTTCAAGTTTTCAATTTCTTCCTATTTGATATCTGCAATCAATCTGTAGTCCCACTTAAAGCATCATTTATCCTTGTTGGAAAGGAGCTTTCAATATATTTACTGACACTTCAGTAGTTTCAAAAGGACTAAAAATTAACAAAATGAAGTAGCATAAAACTGAAGTATTAGAATAATTTGGGGATTTTTTTCCAGGCCCAATGCACTTGATAATATTTTGAAATTCTTTTCTAGCGAGCCTTTTCAATGGATGACCGCATTGCTTGGACACACATCACAATTCCTGAGTCTCTGAAACAAGGAAACGTGGAGGATGAATGGTATAGCCTGAGTGGAAGGCAAGGTGATGACAAGGAAGGAATGATTAATCTGGTTATGTCATACACGGTAAGCCAAGTTTGGGGTGGGAGGAGGAAGGGAGAGAAGCTGCTTAAGTAGTGGGAGGGAGATACTTTAGGCTGAAGTAGTTCTGTTGTACCATATTGGGTGTATGTGTGTGTTAGCATTTAAAATAATTATACTTAACGTTGGGAATAGCAGCCAAAAATATTAGTTAAGGCAGTAAATACTTTTTAGTGAGGTGGTAAATAGATATTTATCTTGTTTTGCAGTTACAAAATTTCAGCTTATTCCTGTTGTTGAGGAATATACCCAGTGCAGACAGCTGGGTGTGCAGCTGCAGTGTGAGCTGCAGGTTGTGCCCTGGGTGGGGGGAAATGGTGGGAGCTCCAGGCAAAGGGCTGTGAGCTGGTGACAACAAGGTCACAAACAGCACAGCAAAGGGCACAGGGATCTGTGACAGTGGCCAAGTGACTGGATACTCAGTGCTGATGACTCAGGCACACAGACTGTAAGGGAATAAAGCCTAGGGATTTCTTTGCTGGGGGTCTCTCCCCAGGGGCACCAGCTCAAGCAGTTTCTGTGTTACTGCACAATGATTAAGTTATTTTAAGGATCCAAGTGTGTGAGACTCTGCCATGGGAAACCCGGGGCTGAGCTGATGAGGAAACCTTGTCTGGCTGTGTGAGAGTGGTGTGTGCAGGGAGTCAAGCGGGGCACATGTTGGGTCACTGGAGCCACCCACCATGAAGGGGCTTTGCTCCCAGCAGATAAAGGCTGGGGTGGGTGCCAGAGTGGCTCCTGGATGGTTGGACAGGAAAGTTTGCTTAACATGGTGCTATTAGAAGTATAAAAAAGAAATCCTCAGTCAAATGGTCCCCTGTCACTTTAAATTTAATAATAGTTTTTATAAAGCTTTGTAGAATCTAACTTTATTTATCCCCCAAATCTTTAGAAATTCATGTCAATTTAAAAGCAAAATAATGGAAACTCTTCCCTGCCCTAGGTCTTTCTTGAATAGTTTGAATTCTCTTTCAGATGGCATTGGTTTTTACTTCCATTTTTGTTCATTTGGTGCTTCTGGTCATGAATTGCAGACTGACACCAGCCTGCTTGCCATTTTTGTTCATTTGGTGCTGCTGGTCGTGAATTGCAGACTGACACCAGCCTGCTTAGCAGCTCATCTGTCACCGTTGTATTAAGTAGCTGTTGGGTAACATATAGCATGTGCAGCCCTAAATGCTTTGTGCTACACTTGTGCATCATCAGAAGTTCGTAGCATGTGCAGCCCTGAATGCTTTCTGCTACACTTGTGCATCATCAGAAGTTCCAAGCTGCTGCTGAGTGCCCAACTGGAAACAGATGTTCCCTGCTGTTTGAAATTCACATTTTGCCCCAGATCTGAACAGTTAGGAGAAATGAGTTTGTAATTAACCTTGAAAACTGCCTCCCTGTGAACATATTGTACACAGAATCTGACCTTTTAGTACTTTCAAGGATCAAACTGAACAGTTATTGTGGTGGTAAAAAGGAATGGAGTTAAATTGCTGCTTTTTTTAAAGTACTGGTTTGCCTTAAAAATAATTGAAGTAAAATTTGCTTCTAGGTGCAGTGTACTGCTTTTAAAAATAATTAAAAAAAAAAATTCAGATTTTCTCTAGTATTTCATTTGTGATGAACATGTTGTATTTTCATTTCAGGTCACTGAGGTGTAAAAGCTGATTAAACCTCTCTTTTAAAATCATTTGCTCAGTAACAAAATTTCAGTGACAAAATTTATCACACTCTTGCAAAAGGCTAGTTTGACATGATGTGTTTTTACTGATTTACAGGCAAACTAACTGTCATGTAAAGATGTTGGTTCAGTTAATTTGCCAGAGATGTTGCTTAATATAGATTAGCACTTAGTGTAGTCACCCTGTAATATCAAACATGGATTTGCAATGTGATGGCTTGTTTGCAAATGCTGTTTTAATTGCTGGGTTTGGGTGGTTCTGCTGTTTCTTGAGTAGTTCTAATCTGTGCTTTTTGTATCAAGTCTTTGCCAGCTGCCATGATGATGCAGCCCCAGCCAGTGGTCCTGATGCCCACTGTGTATCAGCAAGGAGTTGGATACGTGCCTATAGCAGGTATGTTTTTCTCTCCTTGAAGCCTCTGAAACTTCCAGATGAAGGGTTTTGCAGAAATAAATGCCAAAATTCTCCTGATTTTTCAGAATGTATAGGAAGCTATAAATGATTTTGTCCTTAACCATTTTTCCCATGGTACATTTTTGTGAGAAGAGATTGCAAATTAAGTGTCGATCTGCTTTCAGTCTTGGACCCTGTTTAAGGGGAACTGCATGAGTTTTATTAAATGGATTAAAATGTCTGTCAAGTTGGAACAAGTAGCTTGAAGGCTTCTCTTTTTGAGTATTAATTTTAGACTTAGGTCAGGTCACTGAACAACTATCAAGCTGGCTGCACTTACTGAGATGGTGGCAATCCATGTGTGAAACTGTTCGGGCTTGAGAAAGTGCCCCAAATGAATTGTACTGTCAGAACTGCAGCTTATATAGCCCATAATGGGCTTCATTTGTCTGTGCTCTTTGAAGATGCTTTGTGGGAAACTTGCTGCGCAGCATGTGAAGTGTGCAGCTCAGCGAATGAGAAATGGTAGGAAGCTCTGAGATAGTTACGTAAATACATCAAAAAGAGCTACAGCAGGTACTGTCAGTGCTCTTGGTCGGTTCAGAGCGAGTTCAAAGTGAGTTTTGGACTTGTAGAGGAAGATGTGTTAACTTGGGTTTTGTAGTTTTTCTGTCAGAGATCAAAAGTTTAAAGTGTGTAAATAAGCTTGGATTTGCCCTACTTTCGTAACTGATAAGTAAAGTTCAGTTGAGTTTTTTACGTGTTTTGCTTACAGCTCTTAAAACCTCCAGTTTGTTGTATGGACATTTAGTCAGTAATATGTGTACTTTCTAGGGAAAAGAAGAGATGAATTTACATATTTTTAATTTCTTTGCATATAAGTGTATGAGTGATAGAGAGTGTGGGACATAATTGCAGTGCTAAGGGCTGACACAACAGATATATATGTTTTATTTTCCTTTTTTTAAGGCTCGTGGCTGGTTGAATTAAAATTTCATTCTCAAAACAAACTTCATCAACAGAAGACTGAATATGTAATTTAGGAATGATACTTTTATAAAGTTAGGGCAGAACATGGATAAGTTTGGTTGCGTACTTTTATTCGCTGATGAAAACATGCAATTTGCTTCATTAAAGTGCTTTTATCTCTGTAGCTTAATTCTCAGATCTTGCTTTGCCAGTGAACTGCTTTGAACTTGTGTGTGTATTCTGAAGGACGAATCTGTTCTGGTACACCAGACTTTCTGTAGTGAACTTCAAACATGGTCATCTTGTTTATGGTTAAAAGATGTAATAGATGATTACATACACTAGATCAAAATGAGAATATTTATATCATAAAATTTCTGTGCCAGAGTATAAGCAAGAAATGAAGCAGAGTCTAGTTTCAGGTATAATTGAAACTAGACATAGAACTGAACACATAAAACTGATACAAGACCTTCAAACTTGTTTTTCAAGTACTGTGGTGTATCTTGATGTTCAGATGTTGGTGTTCTGTAAATTTGTATTTATCTTGAGTATTTTCTACTTGGACAAGTGAAGAAATAACTCACATTTTGCAAGCATGTAAGAATTTGCCTTTGTGGAACAGTTTTATTGATCTGTATGGAGGAGCATTGCCTTCCTGCAGAGATTCAGCATGTTTGTTTTAATTGCTGCTATACTAATATTCTGTGTTAAAAATTCTTCCTGAGTCTATGACTTGTATTTTTAAATATTGTAAGGTTCCACCCCTGAATCTGAACTTTCTTTTGATCTGGTAAAGCTTGAATGTACCTGGTTGACTTTATGCCAGGCTTTTTACATTCCTCCTTTGGCCTACATTTGATAGTTTTGATTTAATTTTTTTTTCAATATTGCTGTGCTTTGTGTTTGCTGTTCTAGAATTTCTGTGGAGATCATCAAAATTTCCCAAAGTACTGCTTTTTAAAACTTTGTCTTCTTCACTAATCAGTGACCTTCTCGTAATAATTGGCGGGATGGTTAGTGTTAGAGTTTGAAAGGGACAACTTCAGAATACTTTTATGGTTTCATACATTTAATTGTATGACTCAGTGAAAGTAATTTCCCATTATAAAAGAAAACGATCTTGGAAGACATGGGGTATTTTTACATTGTTTTCTGTTTGCTGAACTGGATGTTCCTCCTGGATTCTGCCAACTCTTTCAGAAAGGTGTTTGCAGACTACTGGCCTTCCCTGCCCTAATGAATTGATTGTATTTTCTGGGCAAACTGTGTTGGCACACTTTCTTTGTAATACTCTACAAAGTTTTCTCTTTTTTTTTTTTAAATTTTTTTTCTTTGAGACTGTTTGAAGAAGGGCAATAGCAGGACATCAGTATGCTCCAAAGGAATATATTTACCTTCTTTGTATCTTTTTAGGTCAGGTTTTTTACCTACCCAGCTAAACGAGTGTAGTAAATAACTAAGTTCAGTTTGTTTCCTTCAGAAGAGGGGAAGAGTATCACTGAACAGTTTTTTATATCTGAAATGGGAGTGGATTCTGGGCAGGACTGTTGGACTCTTAAATTCTGTCTATGTCGGTGGACTAAAATGCTTATCCAGACATTTCAGCAGTTGTTAACTGTCCAAAATAACTGCACTTAAAGGAGAGATGGTGTTAAGTCCAATTTAGGTGTGTCACAAAGGCCAGGCTGTTTTTCTGTAACAGAAAATTTATGTTCAGAGCAAGTATATGTAACTAACCTTCTAATTAAAGTTGAAGCAGCTAATTCCTCTCACACTCTGTCACACAAGCTAAGGTAAAGGGTAATAGCAAGCAGTTAAGTCACTGTGGTAAGCAGTGAGTAACAGCTGAAGGTTGAAGGTGCCAGAAGTAATGTTCCTCACATTTGGTAGCAGACATTATAGAGCTGTGATGAGGATAGAAGTGGCCACAGAATATTTTTGCAGCATGTTAATTGATTTCAGTAGTTTTAAAAATTGAAAACTTCTGACAATAGCACTAGTTGCTACAAACTAGAGTTGCCACAGATGATACACCTGTGGACTGGGTATGTGAAAATTTGAATTTGTCAATCTCATTGCTCTTCTAGAAGTTGAGGTCATTTACCATCTCCTCTTGTTTCTTTTTCTAAAGGCTGCTTAATTTAGGTTGTAAAATATTGTGATATAATGGTGCTTACAGTCCAACCTGATCTTGGTAGTGTATCAAATACAGCTAGAAAATGTTAGTACAATAATCAAGCTGTATTTCTTACCAGCTAAATATTCATGGGATAAATAGGATATTTATTTTTACTTAATTTTTAACCACTTATGTGAAAAGTACATTGAAACCCTGTGTGTTTCAGGGTCCCCTCAGGGTCAAGAATATCACTTTTCATTGAGGCAAGTTCGTGTGTATATGTACATTACTCCTTTCATATTGAGTTTCATGGATTAGCTTGTGATGTTACCAGTATGTGTTCAGAAAACCAGGGATGTATGTTATCCTCTGTGGGCTATAAAATATAGTCCTTGCTGCAAACATCTGGTGGCTTACTTATTTTGGAAGCATTTCCTCTAATTTTTACTTCTGTATAAACAGCACTTATAGGAAACTTGTTCAGAGTGCTGGAGCAAATTGACTGAATCCTAGCAGCATTTAGGCTTTTAATATTAGGTAGTTTAGGTTTTACACAATTGCCTCAGTTTATCCAACTTTCACCTTTGGAAGTTAAATGATTAATTTCCTTTTAAAAATAGATTAATATTTCTTTCCCATGTCTTATTCCTTTCCCCTTGCCCCTTCATTTTCACCTGTCTTTAGGGCTTGAGTACTTTGCTCTGGGTAAGTTTCCAAGCTCTTTTCTCACTCCCATCCTCATTGACTCAAGAGTCTTTGCATGAACTCACCTAAACAGCTTTATTTGTTACAGCAGACTGTATCACAAGGTATTGCCACTTGGTTGTCACAATAGAACAATTTAAAGCATCTCCTGAAAATTGTTAAAGCCTCTCTAGCCTGTTGGAAAGTCTTTAAAGGCATCTGCTCAGCTTCAAGCTATAATGGTTAAACTAACTGGTGGTAGTGACATCAGTGGATATAATGTGATGTTAATATTCTTCTGAAGCTGTTGCATGTCAGTGAGCTATTCTAGGTAATAGTACTGGTTTCCTCAAAGAGAAACATCAGTCTTGCAGGTGTTCTGCTGCAGCAGAGTTTGGGGAGAAGCAGGTAATGTGACCACTTAAAAGCCAAGAGCTCAGTTCTTCAAGGACACTGAGAAGACAATCTGCCAATTGCCTTCTATTAATCTTCAAATAAGCTTTTATCCCCAAATTTAACACTTTTTCATTAGTGTGTATTTTTCATGCACATCTGTTTAAGATCCGTGTCAAATTCAGCACCTGATTTGAACTCTGAAGCCAAATTATGTTACAGGAGATCAACTTTCTTTCGATTTAGACTTACCTTACTGTGACACCTTTGATTTTGAATTATGCAAACATATTGTGGCATCACTAACTTTGTTAAAAGCATTGACCTTGAATCAGGTTACGTTCCGAAAGTTCTAGAATTGCTCCTTGTGAGATAGTGTTATTTGTTGATGCTTGGCATTTCAGAAAGATATTGTAAATAGGACTGTTGTGGTTGTCACAGCATACTTGGTTTCTTCAGAGCAGTGAAATGTCAGAATTTTTCCTGTAGGTTAATACACTTAATTTTTCTAGTAGTTTGCAAAGAAGCAGCGTTTTAAAAAATTGAGATGACATGCATATTCTACACTGAGTTTTTTTCTGAAGCAAATATCATCAATACCTATCATGTTTTTAGAAAAAGTGATACTGATTTCTTCATTTAAATGAAGGAATAAATGCTGAGAAGGTTCCTGAGTTTACTCTGAAAGAGTCCATGCATGGGACAGAATAGTAATGAGTTAAGGAATTAAACATAGGGCACTTGACTGAAAAAGAAAATAAAATTACAAGTGTGTGATGCCTTGTATGCAGTTAGATGAAGTTTGTCCTGCTAATTCTGCTTTAATGCTTCC